CACCGCCTCAATCTTGGCCGGATCGACCAATATCCCATTCTGGTTGACGAGGTGCCCTAAGAACTGGACCTCTCGTAACCAGAAATCGCATTTGGAGAATTTGGCGTAAAGCCTCTCCGATCTCAGAACTCCGAGGATCTCCCTCAAATGCTCCTCATGCTGCTCTCTGGATCTCGAATACACCAGTATGTCGTCGATGAATACAATCACCGATCGATCCAACATCGGTCTGCACACCCTGTTCATGAGATCCATGAACGCTGCCGGTGCGTTGGTGAGCCCAAAAGGCATCACCACGAACTCGTAATGCCCATAACGAGTCCTGAACGCCGTCTTCTGGATATCCTCATCTCGCACCCTCATCTGGTGATATCCAGACCTCAAGTCTATCTTGGAGAACCAAGATGCTCCCTGCAACTGATCGAACAGATCATCAATCCTCGGCAGTGGGTAACGGTTCTTGACTGTTAACTTGTTCAACTCCCGGTAATCAATGCACATCCGGTGTGAACCATCCTTTTTCTTGACAAAAAGGATCGGCGCTCCCCACGGCGAGCTACTTGGTCGAATAAACCCCTTCCCCAGCAGCTCCTGCAGCTGTGAGGATAACTCCTGCATCTCTGGTGGCGCAAGGCGATAGGGCGCCTTGGCGATAGGCGCTGCCCCGGAACCAAATCGATACAGAACTCTACCTGCCTCTCGGGAGGCACACCCGACAACTCCTCGAGGAAAACATCCGGGAACTCACGCACTATCGGGACCTCATCGACTGACCTCGGTCTCTCTGCATCTACTCTCGCGTCCACCACATAAGCCACAAACCCACTACAGCTCTGTTGTAGGCTCTGTCTCGCTCTAGCGGCCGAACAAAATGCTGACCCAGAACGGGTACCCTCGCCATAAACCGTAAGAACTCCCCCACTAGGGTCTCGTATGGTCACCAACTATCGCTCGTAGTCGATAACCGCTCCAAACCTGCTCAACCAGTCCATGCCCACGATGACACAGACATCTCCCATCGCAATCGGGACCAAATCAATCGGAAACTCAACGCCGAAGATCTCGAGTACACATCCTCGAATCACATCAGTGGCATACACCGCTCTCTCGTCAGCTATGGAAACTCGCAAAGGTCGAGTCAACGCCTCCCAACCGATACTGATGTGCTGACTAAAGGCTAACGACACAAAAGACCGACTCGCACCGGAGTCAAATAACACCAAATCAGGTACATAATTCACAAGAAATGTACCTACGCATATCATAATATAAGCATAACACCACAAACTCAAAATTAATAGATGAAAGAATACATACCAGCCACAACATCTGGCGCTGCGCGGACCTCCTCCGATGTCAACTGGAAGGCTCTCCCTCGTGCCTTCGGTGCCTCGGCCTTCACCGGCCGACTCTCGGTAGCTCGAACAGCAGCAGGGGCAGATCCCTGCGATGCTCCCTGTGCTGATCCCCGCAGCTGCGGACACTCGGCCTTCCGGTGTCCGGTCTGGTTGCAGTGAAAACAGACTGCAAACCCCTTGGGGCAATCCTTGGCCATGTGCCCCTCCTTGCCACACTTGTAGCAAGACCCTGCTCTGCAAACCCCCTCATGACTCTTGCCGCACTTGCCACAAGTGCGGCTCTTCTGGTTCCCTAATCTCGAATCGGCGGGCTTGGCCCGCTTGGCTGTCGGCTGGGACTGTGCCGGTCGCCGATCCCTCCCTTGAGACTCCGCCTCCTCCCTGGCCTGAGTCTCGAGCTCAATCTCCCTCTTCCGGGCATTTTCCTGAAGCTCTGCAAATGTTCGGTACGACGAGTTCGCCACGAACTCGCGGATGCCTCTCCTCAAAATGCTCAAATACCGACTCATGCGTGCCTGCTCGGAAGACACGTGCTCAGGGCAGAACATCGCCCTCTCATGGAACATCCTGGTGATCACTGTAACAGACTCGGTACCCTGCTTGAGGGTCAAGAACTCCTGAGCCAAACGTTCCCTTTCCACAGGGGGAACGTACTCATCACGAAACATAGCGGTGAACCTCTCCCAGGTCACCGTGGCAAGCTCTGTAGAAGAGTAGTGCGCTGTCACAAACTTCCACAGTCCTTCGCTCCCAAGCTAAGCTGGTTCAGCGCGAACCGAACTCTCATCGCAGCGATCGGATCCATCTCATTGCGTATAGAAGCATCCCTCAATATCAGAAATCCATCTCATCGCAACGATCGGATCCTGCGTCCCATCAAACTCTGGTGGCTTCGTGTTGCTGAACTCTGGGTACAACAACGAGTCACCCCCCTGCGGTCTTGCAGCAGCGACGGCTGCGGTGGCTACAGCATCAGTAAGAGCAGCGTAACGCTCGTCAAAAGTCTCGATTAGGGTGGTCTTGATAGACCCAAACATCTCTGGTATCTCGGCTCGGATGGCAGCAGCCACCTCCTCATGAATCAACCTACGGATCTCCTCATCACTGGTACCACTGCCCCCTGGGTGGTGGCGCGTCCCAACCATGATGTCTCTGAAATACAAGACAAAAGAAATCAGAGACTCGCTCGAGTATGCTCACACTCGATACCCAACCCTACTTGCTCTTTAGTACCCTAAGGATTCTTACTTGGATTGCTCACCGATCCGGTGTTTCCAGTAGTACGGGCCCTTATACTACCTTCCACAGCGCATCGGTATTCACCCCAAGTCCTCCTCTTAGGATCTTAGATCACAAGTACTCTATATCTCACTAAACTCAGGCTACTCTCCGGTAGACCACTCATAAGCTCCTCGCTACTACCTACTTACTCTCGAAGTATCTCATAGCAGCAATAACTCCTAGGCTAAGGCATCACAAATCATGCCCACTCTAGTCCTAACCATGAATACCTAGCCTACTCTAGCATGCTTAACATACCACATAATATCTCATAACACATAATGGAAGGGTATTTTGGGAAATCACCGTACGGGCGCTGACTGATCGTACACACTGCTCTGCTCTGCTCTTTTCAAAATCCTTTTACTCTTTTAGAAAAATTTTGTTTTATTTCGAAAAATTCCTCAAATCCTCAGTTTGAGTTCAAATGCGCACGAAGGTGCATCCGAATCCCTCAAACCAAGGCTCTGATACCAACTTGTAACACCGTAATTTTTCAAACAATTTTTCACTTTCAAAAATATAATTTCATTCACAAATATTCTCAAATCTCAATGTATCACATCTCAAATCCATAAAAACACATCCCAAGATCAAAATGTATAAAACTCCAATAGTGTGTACTGATCATGCCGGCGCCTTCCCGCGATCCTCACTGGTACCTGTAACACATAACACAAAACACTGTAAGCATAAATGCTTAGTGAGTTCCCCAAAATACCACATATAACACATATTAGCCACTCGAGGCTATAACTCTATGGGCCCACTGGCCCTAACTCTGTGGACCCTCTGGTCCTAACTCTGTGGACCTTCCGGTCCTAACTCTGTAAGCTCTGGAATACACACAACATAAATCACATAGAAATAATGCAGTGCAACACATCACATGCATAGCATACAAGATTCTCTGTCACATAACTCTACTTAGCACTCAAGGTAAAGTATAGTGAGAAGACTCACCTCGGGTAACTCGGTAAATCTCGAACTCGGTAAAAATCTGGTCTAGCCCCCGCCTAATCACATGGAATAAGCACTCTAATCAATACAACCCTCAAGGCTAGACTAATCCCTCTCTTAGTACTCTCAGAAGGGTAAAAAGACCATTTTACCCCTCTCATGGCCCAAAGACCCTAACATTGACCAAACCCTAAAAGTCAACAAAAGTCAACGGTCAACTTTGACCAGACTCGCCGAGTGCACTCATGTGACTCGGCGAGTACATGCATGTCCTCTTCGCCTCTGGTCCTCACTCGACTCGCTGAGTCAACCCTACACTCAACGGGTTGTCACCGGTCGCGAGTCGCGGGGCAACCCGACTCGACTCGTCGAGTCCCTTATGGGCTCGGCGAGTTCCTCCCATGAAAACACTCAAAAGATCCTTTGAGGTCAGATCTGCTTCACCAACCAGTAGATCCAACCTTCTAACACTCGAAAGTCACGTAAAGGTTCAAACTTTACGTTCATGCAATGCTTATAAGGCCAAAAATGGAGAAAATGGGGTTTTACTCTCAAGGCTCACATGAAAGCTCATAAAGCTGGAAGCTTGGGACCTTTTGGACCTCTCAAGGTCCAGATCTATCATCTATACCCAAAGGGACCTCATATGCTTCACAATCTAACTCAAAATTGTGCAAAGGAAACCCTAGATTCAAGGAATCTATCAGATACACGAAATGGGAAGGAACTTGTACCTCAAAACGTGAATCTCAGTGTGAACAACACAGATCCAAGCTCCACAATCAGCCTAGCTTGTTCTACCTCCTTCCTTCTTGCTAAAACACACAAGAAATGGTGAGTTAGCCTTCCTCTTGCACCACAAACGATCTCTTTTCTCTCTAGGGTTTCTCAGGGGTGAAGTGGCCGCAAATGGAGGCCATAAAGGCCTTTAAATAGGGCTCAGGCCCTGAGATTTAGGGTTTCACTTTACAGCGCGGACTCGCCGAGTCCACGCATCGACTCGTCGAGTCCCTCATTAATCCAGACAAGAATTCGCGATCCTACTCGGCGAGTCTGAGCGCCTACTCGCCGAGTCCCTCCCTAAAACTCAAGGTAAATACTTAAAAATAAGATACCTGGGAATCCGGATGTTACAATTCTCCCCCACTAGAATCAGACTTCGCCCTCGATAGGTACCCCATTCAGATCATCTGAAAATAAACAAAAGCATATCATGTTCAAGACTTATATAGCTTTCAAACGTTGAGTATTTCAGGAACCAATACCAACATATGTTCAATGTACAAGGTATATTGATTTCTTCTTATGAAGTCACATCATATAACTAGCTATATGACTTAATTACTAAACCCTTAATTAAGCAAATATATATACCTGGCTGTTGATGGACCTTGCTATCTGTCAAGTAGGAGACGACATCAGTTGTGCTGCAGTGGTGGCGTATTGAGCAGTATAGTAGTTCAACCCAAGAAAATCGAAAGATCCAGTCAATAACTCGATTTGCTTTTCTGTGAATTCAGGCAAACGCCCATCTGTAACATTATCAATCATACTCTGGGGGTACTTGCCATTAAATATTGGCTGCATGAACCTGCAGCAAAAATTTGATCAATATATTATTAATATATATACACATTGATTCTCATGCATGAAGTTGATAAATATATTTATAGTACGTACGTACAGATGGAGTACTTACCATCCGAAAATAAAGTCTATGCCTCTGTTGGCTGCATCCTTGTCGTCCTGGCTGGTTGGATCAAGCGGCTCAAAAAACTCTGTGTTTAACGTAATTCCGATCACACCCCCTTGGCTTTCCTGAAGGTTGATCGAGTCCACTTAATTAGTTAATTAAACCTCGATCTCTATATATTAATTTGTGGGTGGTTGTGAATGTTAATTAATTCTTGCATCATTGGCATGCAAGCTGCATGTCAATCATGATTATGTACATACCTTGAATCTGTCTCTGTATAGTCTCACAGCATGAGCGTGAGAAAGGAGTAAGTTGTGTGCTACAGTATAGGGCTCAGTGGCAGGATTACCAACACCTTTATTGTCAAAAGTTCTTGCACGATTACGAGTTCCAAGGTTATTTCCAGATGCGAGTATGGCTTGCTGAGTTTCGGTATCTCCTCCTCCTCGCCCAGGTGCCATAGTCCCGTAAGCATAACCCATAGCAGCAAAGGTATAGGGTTCGTTCAATGTGATCCAATGCTTCACCCGATCACCAAATTCCCAGAAGCAAAATTCGGCATAATCCACAAAGTCAACTCTGATGATCAAAATATATATGCACACAACTATTAAGCTAGTCAATGTACAATATCTATCTATCTCTCTATCTATATATTAATTACTTAATTTGAGGTTAATTTGATGATCAAAATATACGCATTAATTGATCTCTAATTTTATACTAGTGCTTACACAACTAGTTCAGATAAAAATCCCATGTAGTCTTCTTCTAGGGCATTGGGAAGGTCCCAATGAAAGAGAGTGGCATATGGTGTAATTCCATTCCCTATCAGCTCATTGATTAGGTTATTGTAGTAGTCAACACCTTCCTGGTTGATGCCCATGCTAGCTTTTCCACCTAAGTAAGAACGCATACAACACCAACAAATTAAGTACAAATATTTTAAATAAAATGAATGTAATTTGTTTTTCTTCATGTTCTCGTGATTCACGTACCCGGCAATATTCTACTCCATGAAATTGAGAATCGGTAGGCTTTTAGACCCATTTTCTTCATCATTTGCACATCTTCCTGTGTACGTACGTACAATCATGAACCAAGTATAATTATAAGAAAAGATGTTAAGATTGATGGCTTAATTTGATTTTAGAGTAACATCACAAATTAAGGTTATAATTAATGAGGAGGAAGACCTTGGTTTTGTAATAAGCATTAATAGCCTTGTTTCCATTCTCACCATTGTCGATGGCACCTGCAATATATATAATATAAAACAATTTTTCATGACATTTATTGAAAGCTCCTGTGCATGATGAAAATCAGCATGGTCTTCAACTCTTCATATTGAAAAAGAAAAAAACAAACCAGGATTTTTGAGGCAGAAAGCATCCCAGATGCTTGGTTGTCTACCACCTTCAAATGCAGCGCCTTCGATCTATTAATATGTGAAAACAAGAATATGATACTCGAATGTTAGCTTATAATTTCACATTGCAATAAGTAAACCATTAACGATATAAAACACTATATATATGAAATCAAAATTGCATTCCATATATGCCTTGGTTTTAAACAGAATTTAGGTAATAAACTATAATGTGCTAGATTACATGAGTCATTTACAAAAGTCTATAGAACGTAATATATATTTTAAAAGTATGGATAATGATCGGTGTGATGATATATATACCTGATAAGCAGAAGTGGCAGAACCCCAAACGAAATCAGACTTGAAATCGCTACTACTTATGTCATCAGGGAAAATGTAAGTATTGTTTGCCTTCAGAGTTGCTGCCATTATATCTTTGGATCAGATTAATTTTCAGGCTGTGAAGAGGAATACTGGATTTGCCATCCTATTTATAGATAAAAGTAGTACTGCATCCTTCTCAAATTGCAATAATTTATTTTATAAAAATGTTTTAAATCATTATTAAAATATCAATACACGAAATTCAGTATTAACAATAATTAATTTCTTTTGAATTGTGTGTACTTGATTGAGATATCTTTTACAATTAAAGTTCCCAGAATTCATAGCTTTTATGGTTGAAACATGTGGCCTCATTTTTACATCCTTTTACATTGTTGCAGATTTTAATGAAAACTTTTCAGTCTTCATAAGATGTCTAACATAATTTAAATAAAAATACCATCCAGAAACACTGAATTTAGAGCCCTAAATGAGGGAATTAGGGATCTTTATAACTCCTTTTGTTCATGTGATGAAAGAAAGGTTTGGATGTAAAAAAGTATACCTCACCTGTGTGAGCAATCATTTCAGGCTTCCTTTGGGTTAAAGCTTCCATGCATCCTTTTGTTCTGAATAAAATATAAAAACTAATATATTAATTAATTATTATTCATAAACATCGACTTGGATGATATATTTATGTGATCCAACATATCAAGATTTAATACTTCTTGATATCTGAAAAAAATGAAAATGGTAGGAAGATCATATGGATAATATTTATAAAATCATTCATAGTAAGATTGTGTTAACTAGATTTTATTTAAACTCCTGTTAAGTTTTGTATAGACGTGGGTACCGGTGTTTGTGTAGAAATTATATTTTAGAAAAATTTAGGAGGCCTATGGTTGTGGAATATTTTCTAGTCTTCCATGAAAATTTTGAATATGCATTTAGTTGATCTAGTTTTCAAAAAAAAAAAAAATCTAAGAAAATGAAAATTTTATCTTTTTCAAATTCTATTTAAATTAGAAAAGTGATTTTTGTAGTTTTCTAAATTTCTAAATGGAAAACGAAAACTCCTCTGGTGTCAACCAAATACATTTTCTAAAATTTAATTGAAAACTAAAAATGAAAACCCAACTCTATTTGCTGATAACGTTTTCTAGAAAAATAATAATAATATCCACAACCAAACACAGCCTTCTGTACAGAAAACTTTGGAAAACAATAAAAACCACTTTTCTAATTATATACAATTTGGAAAACCAAAAATTTTCATTTTCGCACATTTTTTTTGAAAATTAAATCAACCAAACATGTTTTCAAAATTTTTATTTTTCTTGGAATTTTCATTTGAAAAACTAGAAAATTTCTACAGACAAAGTTAATTACTTCAGATGGTGCTATTCTCATAGCGATGTAAATAAGCAAATACCTTTAATATATTTCCTCTCTTTTTATCAAGAACCAGCTCTCTGACCATTTATGCCCGATTAAAAGACCATTTGCATCAAAAAAGAAGAAAAATAAAGATTCATATTTAAGAATCAATATCAAAATATTTCTATAAAGGAGCATGAAGATAAACAAACCTCTTCAAGGTTTCCCAAGTTGCTTACTAGCTTTTCACACTACAGGAATATCTATCTTTAGGGGCGACGGACGTCGCCGCTAAAGGTGCAAAATGTCGCCGCTAATACTTTTAGAGGCGACACGTCGCCGTTGGTTTTTTATCGCTTATGCTCCAATGGTCGCCGATAATGCATGTCGTCGCCACTAATTCCATTTATTGCCACTAATGCACCGTCGTCACTAATGTCATCCGTCGCCACTAAAGCTGTCGCCACTAACTGTAGTTTTTCTTTTTTTAGTTTTTTTGAAACTGTTCTTTCCAAATGAAAAAAAAACATTATATGATATACAATATAGAAACACAATATGAATAAAAGTTAAAATTTGAATTAGGAATCCAAATAAAGTTTCTATTACAAATAACTATATACATATAAAGTTTTTCATTACATATAAATTGTTTTAATCAGACTCTCCTTCATATAATTCAATGTATTCTTTAGTATCGTAATCAAAATCGTTCTCATCATAACCAGTCTTCCCCTTAGAAACATTATGGTCTCTACCTGTTGGTAGAGGTACTTCAGTGTGGTCCGTATCATCTACATCAACATTGTTTTGAAAGTACTGTGTGATGTCGACAACAAGTGTAGCACTGGATGAAGAGTTGTTTTGAACTACGTCCACATTGTTAACATTTTTGGCTAAGCCATTGTCAACATTTTGGACAGTCATTGTAAACATTTTGAACACGAGCATCGTTCGATGGTGGATCCCAAATACTTCGATGACGAACAAGCTCGATGACACACCGATGGTTATTGTTTTGGTTTCTTTGAAAAGGCTCTCAGATGTAGAACACTTGTTTGGCTTACAAAGGATATACAAGTTGATCATCTTGGTACTCTTCGTGTTATGTGTTGATACGGGTGAAATTATCATTGGGAATAACTCTCGTAATAAACCACTTGTACCGAAATAATACAGTCGAATAATCATGTGGATATTGCAACTCTATAATCTCTTTTAACTGGCCATAATATTTCTCTCCTTTCTCACTCACTGCTAGAACCCCTAGAGTTTTGCTTGTGTATTGTACGACTAAGTACCGTAAACCTAACACCGTTGACTATGCACACAATATAAGTATAAACATTCATTTGTGAACCCATTGAAACAACTAAAAACTCTTTGTGGAATTCTGAAGAGTTTTCTTTTTACATCTAAAAAACCTATTTAATATAAATTAATGTGTTATGTATTCTTGATTTGTTATATTGATCAAACATATTTGTATGTTAATTAGTATTATCTTTTAAAGAAAACAATTAAGAAATTCGGTCTTTTCATCACTTTTGGTATGCTCAGATTTGAATTTTCTATATTGATGACAAAAATATATAGAATTAGTGAATGGAAGAAAGTAACATTATATCACGAAAGATAAAGAGAAGAACACTTAGTTGATATATTGTCTGACTGATAAGAACACTTCAGTATAAATCATTCTATATTTTGTTTTTCTCTAAGATTAAGATATTTGATTTGCGTTGCACTGGCCGGTCGACACTTAGACTCAAATATCCAAAAACTTTGTTTTTTCAACGACAACATCCTTGTTTCTTTCATGTCGATTGATTTGAGTCCGCACATCTCGAAGGTACATCGAACAAAATAATAAAGCTTCTTCAACAACATAGCCTTCAACGATACGACCTTCCGACCTCGCCTTATTTCTGACATAGTTTTTCATATACCTTTCAAGTGGATACATTCATCTCCTACATACCGGGCCTTCAACAATCTCTTCATCAGGTAAATGCAAAACTAAATGAACCATAATGTCAAAAAACATTGGAGGATAAATATGTTGGATTAGATGTCTAAGCCCATAACTATATTTGGTATGTACTTGACCCGATAGTAGCATGGTCCTTTTGGGTTGCCTTCACCATAGCAACTTGACTGGATGAATAATGGAGAAAGAGGTTAATTATGATTTATTAATATATTATAGGAATAATATATTAAAAAATAAATCATATTATTTAATTAATATTGGTCAAAAATTAATTTAAAATTAATTTTTGTGGTCAAAAGAGATTAATTAAATTAAGGGGACTGATACTGTAATTATAAGATAGTTACAAAGTTGGGTTTAGGATCCCTAAATAAGGGATGAACGAATTCTATGGGGAAGCCCACATAGAAATCGTCCATAGGGGCCTTCTGGAAGGATCATGTGGACTGCTTAAGGCCCAAGCAATCAGATTAGGGTTTTGACTGAAACCCTAGCAGCTCAGCTATATAAGGAACCCTTGGGACTCCTCAAATCGACACTTGAACCCTAAGAAGCGTACCAGCCGAAATTGTGATCCCTTCCTTCTCTCTCATATTCTTCCAACTTGCTTTTGGTGTTTGTGATCTATTAGAGGCATCGCATTTGAGGTGCTAAGTTCTCAAAGATTGAAGATCAAGCTAGCTACAATTGAAAGGTAATCATCTAACTTTTGTATTAGGTATTAATTTCGAAAATAGCATGGTAAATTAGGGTTGTCGCTTTGGATGATTATTGCATGTAGAATTAGATAAAACCTAGATCCAAAGCTTTAGGGTTGCATGTGCACCATAGGAATGTTGTAATGCTCAAAACCCAACAGTGGTATCAGAGACTAGGTCGTTTTTCTATTGTATTTGATGCATAGCTTAATTGTTCTTAGCTGAAAAAGTCAAAAATTCTGCATATGACCGATGAAATCGTCGAGTCCTCTGATGAACTCGACTAGTCAGGGCTACTCGACGAGTCCAATGTTTGACTCGACGAGTCGACTCATTAGTTGGCAGATTTTTCGGGATTTTGACCAGAATTGGATTGGGATAATTACCAAAAACATTTGTTGACTGATAAAACTCGATTTTTATTATATGGTAATGATTATCCTCATCCAATTAGAAGATAATTGTCAAACCATAAGATAATTATTAGTTTATATGATAAAAATAGTTATTTGTATTATTTAATGTGAATTATCTTGCCATAAATTGAATTAGGTCAAATCTAGATAATGACAAAATTATTGATTAATTAAATTATTTTAATTTGATCTAGAAGGTTTTGAAAGTTTCAAAACTTGCCCTCAAGTTTTGGAATTTAAATTTTGATAAAAAAAAGTTTTAATATTTAAATTCTAAACCCTAGAGTTTTAAAAGTTTAAAATTCAACCCTTATACTATTATAATATTAAAAGATATATTATATATATATAAGATAAGTCAGTCTTACCGTTAGTAGGCCTCATTCACGAACCTGGTCTATAAGGGGTGTTTAAGGAAGCGGCCTGTAAAATGACCGTCATTGGGTATCCACTCTTACCCACCGCACTCTTGACTAGTGGAGGGTCGTTAGCCGAACGGGTAGGATAGGACAAACTAATTCCTCATTAATAAGTATAATGATTTTATTAAGTAACTAAATGTTTTCATAAATTCCCAATCTTAGTTACTTTAGAAAAAATGTGAAAATGATGCTATTCCATGAAATTGCACTTTGCACCTTGCCAAGTCGTTAGTGGAGCGTGTATGGCTAACCGACACACTAATTTGG